CAGAAACCTGCCTCTGACAGGTTCTGCAGGTGCTGAGTTGCACTGGACCCACCAAGGCCTCTCCAAGACCACGGCCAGGAATCTGCTCCCCCAAAAATCCACACCCAGCACTGGCAGTTCACTCTGACACCCTCTGAAGCAGGGCTGCAAACACAGGCTGCAGCAGCGACACAAAGCCTCCATGCAAAACCAAGAGATCCATGTGCCACCTGGTGTCCAAAAGCAGCTCTGCACCATGACCCGAATTGCCGGAAAAACTCAGATTTTAGCCTGTCTAAAATCTAAATCCTATCACCATCGCGACGAGCAGCACCCTACTCTGCTGCTGAAACATCGAATGCCACCCTACCTGTCCTAAGCACCTGTAGCTTAGAGCACAGCAACACAGAGCTGCAGAAAACACCTCTGTTTTCCTTTGGGCTGGTCACTTCTATCCCAGTAGGAAACTCTTTCCCAGGATCTCAACTCCTGTGGACACCTCAAACTATGAAACTTAGGTAAAAAAAAAAATATCTAGACACATAGGATAACAGTATTCAACTTGGAAATCAAGAGATGAGGGGAAACGCGAAGCAGATGCTTCCATTGCCAGCAGCAGGGCAAGGAGCTGCTGATAAAAACGCAGCATAAAATGGCCTTAAGGTGAATTCTTGTTGTACCTGCAGCTGATGACACCACCAAGCAAGGTCCTGGGCTGTGCCCTTCCGCAGACAGAAGGGTCAGGGCTGCCCCCAAGGTAAAGCACCCAACAACAGTTTCTGTGTTTCTGTACTGCAGGTGCTGCAGAGCTGATCCAGAGCACATGGGTGACACAGCACCTCCAGAAACTTTGGTCTCTGGAAGGCCAGCCCTACTTCTTGGGACAGTTTGACAGTAGAAGACAACCAAGAGGTGCCACTGCTCCCTCTCTACCATTGATCTGTAGCTCCCAGAACACCCACAGGGGATGCACAGCCCTTACTGGTCCTACAGCCACTGCTCCTGAGAAAGCCTCCAGGGAGACTTTCTGCTCCTTTTCAATCCTTCTTACATCACCCAAACCTCAATAAGGAAACAGAACATGTTCCCTAGTGGCTGCCTGCTAAAGGAAAAACTCCAGAAGCTTAAAGGAAGGAGACAAAATCAGTTTTAAAGCAGAGTAACCTGGAGAAAGTGAGGCAGCTGGAGAAAGCACCCAAAGCTCCTTCTTCAGAGATCCTGGCCAGTAGCTGATGCAGGGCAGAGGCCAGGGCAGCTCTGGAGAACAGACAGCTCTGACAGACCCACCACTGAAGCAGGCAATGAAAATTCACCTGGTGGGTCATTACCTGCCAAGTTGTTCCTTCACTCAGCACAAAAGGAAGAGACACAACTTTAAACCACTTTCTTGCTCTCCAAATGCTCAGTCCCTAAAAGATCAGAGAAGGGCAGAAAATGATATCACCATGGCCATACTGCACCTCAGCCCGGGAGTGGGACAGCCAGCCTGGGCTGGGCTAGTCTCTGAAGACAGCCCACAATTCTTCAGATCCCCTTGTCCTCTGAGGGATGGAGAAGGTGGGGAACATGTTTTAGGGGGGTGAAAGTCAGATGTGGCTGGGCAGCACATCCCAAAATCAGACCCTGCCAGTGTCAGCGTGTGCTGGCTGCAGCTCCCCTGATCAGACTGACAGGCTGGGCGTCCTCGGCAAGGGAAATCAGGCTTGGGAGGGCACCCAAAGCACTCCTGGTAACTGGGCTGGAAAATAAGCAGTGACAGCATTCCCAGGTCTGGTCTGGAAGGGCTGACAGTGCATTTAGGCCAAGCTGCCCTAACAGCTTGGAAACATCAGATACAAGCTTCTGGTGCAGCAGGACACAAAGTAAAAGCCACCCCTGCTCTTCCCTGACAGCAATGCTGGGTCCCAGGAGCAGGATTTGGTACAAAAATGCTACCCCCACTTCAGAAGCCCTCTCCTCACATCCCCTAACTCCACCTGTGGTCCCTTCCATAACAGGGTTTTGCCCCTCACTCTTCACTCATGCAGGATACGCTCAGCAACACTGCCCCCTGGGTTTGCTCTGGGGAATTATGAGGAGGGAAACTGAGGCAGGATGGAACTGTGAAGGACCCATCCCAAAGCAGTTGAAGACAGGGCAAGAATCCACGGGAGACTGTCCAATCAATTGCAGAAGCAAATTACAGGGCAGAGTCCCAAAGCAATAAGGGTTTCCCCATCATGATTTCCCACTCACACATGTGAATGCACAAACCTTCTCCCAGCTTATCCCACATCTCCTGAGGAACAGCCCAAGGGCCAGGAAAAGCTGCTGCTGGGTTAATTAACTCTGGGTAGCTCTGTTTTGGGGCTGGGAAGGTGCCCAAGGCCTGGCACAGATTCCAGGTCTGCTGGGGGGCACAAACCCACCCCAGCAACATTCCATGCCACCCTCAGCTCCAACTCTGGCTGCAGAAGAACTGGGCAGAGAGGAAGAAGTGGCAGACGTGCAATTAATGCTGAGACCAAATAATTAAGGATGTTCTTAGAAACAAAGGAGATTTTAACAGGCACGGACAGCAGTGGGAGCTAGTGATGGCTGCTGAGGTAGGTGGTTTAAAGGAGAGACTTTTTATCAGGGCCTGTTGTGACAGGCCAAGGGTCAAAGGTTTTAAATTAAAAAAGAGTAGGTTTCAGTGGGTCATAAGGGAGAAATTTTGTACAATGAGGGTGGTGAGACACTGGCACAGGTTGTTGGGGAAGCACCACTAGCACTGGCCCAGTGGAAGGTGTCCCTGACCAGGGCAGAAACCTGCCTCTGACAGGTTCTGCAGGTGCTGAGTTGCACTGGACCCACCAAGGCCTCTCCAAGACCACGGCCAGGAATCTGCTCCCCCAAAAATCCACACCCAGCACTGGCAGTTCACTCTGACACCCTCTGAAGCAGGGCTGCAAACACAGGCTGCAGCAGCGACACAAAGCCTCCATGCAAAACCAAGAGATCCATGTGCCACCTGGTGTCCAAAAGCAGCTCTGCACCATGACCCGAATTGCCGGAAAAACTCAGATTTTAGCCTGTCTAAAATCTAAATCCTATCACCATCGCGACGAGCAGCACCCTACTCTGCTGCTGAAACATCGAATGCCACCCTACCTGTCCTAAGCACCTGTAGCTTAGAGCACAGCAACACAGAGCTGCAGAAAACACCTCTGTTTTCCTTTGGGCTGGTCACTTCTATCCCAGTAGGAAACTCTTTCCCAGGATCTCAACTCCTGTGGACACCTCAAACTATGAAACTTAGGTAAAAAAAAAAATATCTAGACACATAGGATAACAGTATTCAACTTGGAAATCAAGAGATGAGGGGAAACGCGAAGCAGATGCTTCCATTGCCAGCAGCAGGGCAAGGAGCTGCTGATAAAAACGCAGCATAAAATGGCCTTAAGGTGAATTCTTGTTGTACCTGCAGCTGATGACACCACCAAGCAAGGTCCTGGGCTGTGCCCATCCGCAGACAGAAGGGTCAGGGCTGCCCCCAGGGTAAAGCACCCAACAACAGCCATATACTTTCGGGAAGAACAGATAGCTGTAAGGAACATGCAGTTCTCTTCCCCTGACCAAGAAAAAAAAGCTCAAAGACACAAGACTTTTCACCCCTTCCACCTTTTTAAGGAACATAATGTTGGGGTGTCTGTGCCTACTGCCTTTCAAGCCCTGCTATTCACATATCCCTTCTAATGCACAGCTGGATGGCTTGCCATAAGTGCTGGGACACAACATAGTCCCAAACCCTGTCCCCTCACCGCAGGGTCAAGTCCCCCCAAACGGCAGAGCCTGGATCTGCAGGCAGAGTGAAGGGCAGAGAGCATGGGGGCAGGAGTAGAGGTGGGGAAACAGCTCCATAAATGTTTAACAGTGACAGAGATGTTACAGAGAGCACTCAGACTTGGGGGATGAGACCCCAGCATCTACCTGGAAATGAAGGAGGAAGAAGAGGAGAGAAAACCAGTAACTTTTGTGGTATGTGGTTCCAAGTAGACATCTCTGCCAGGCAGCCTACTCAGCACAACTGTTGGGACAGGTAATCAAGAAGAGAGACGGTGCAGAAAGCACGCACAAACCACAGTATCCACATTCAAGACGATGCAAAGCACAGACAGTGGAGTGGTGAGCAGCACCCTACACCGTGCAACGTCCTGCCACCACCACAAACCCTGCCTACAGCCGACCTGGCTCTGCCTTGCAGGCTGCTCGTGAGGCACACAGACACAGGCATCATGCAATACCAGGAGGTAGGTCGGTCTGTCCCTCCCTCCCTCCCTCCCTCGCTAAAGAGGACCTCATTTGGAAGGGCCTCCAAGTCTTCTGAAAGTCTTACTAAGGACTGCCAATTTATTAAGCCAGCTTACACAGGAGAGATACCTCAGGTCAGTGAGGAAGATCTTCCAGTCCACCAGAGCCTTCAAAGGTGGCAGACGAAAGCATGTGCCAGCATGCTCCAAGCTGGGCCCCCGACATGGCTTCTGGAGGATCAAGCACTTCAGGTCCCTGTGTCCTGTCCGGCCCTCTGTGCACACAGAGGGAAGGAAGAAATCACCTCCTTCTACACAAAACTGGCTTTTCTACAGAGTAGAGAAAGCAGGGTCATGAAGCTCCTTGGCCAGAGTGATGTGAGATGACACACAAGGGAAAGGATGAGCTTGCTGTGGGGAAAGAATAACGTGTAAGGTGGCATTTAAATGTAGGTCCTACCTTAGTCCAGTGTGGTGTTTGTCGTTGTATGGCTCGTGAATCTTCTTTGAAGATGATCCCCATGGACACAGCCGAGGTGCATAGGCTGGGGGGGGGGGGGAAATATGCATTCCTCATGGAGGTGGTGGGATGCCAGAACAACCTAGGAGCAGAGGAGCTGGTGAGCAGTCTCCAGAAACAGTCCCTGGTAGCGGATAGCTGGTTGTGGTTGAATGTTCCCTGCAGTGCCCGGAAGTGAAGCTGCAGGCAAGGAAGAAGAGCCTGAAGCCATTTCTTCCTTGATGTCTTCAAGATCTTCCTTCAGCCTCTCCATCTGAAGCAGAAAGAACAACACGCCAGTGGTTAGTTCATGCTCAGTTGCCCAGAGCAAAGAACCACCCTGAATCATGTCTCAAATGACCAGGTCTACCTCAAATCCCCATCCTTCTCCTCACAAGATGCTGCCAACAAAAAACAAGACAGCAGAAGTACCATCACCTGGGGACTTGACATCCTCCTCCCAAAAGCTGATAGAAGGAAATATGCATTCCTGCAGCAGGGTGACCTCAGAAGAAGTCTGGCAAGCAAGATACAGCTGGAAGCACAATAGTGAAGTAGAGTCTGCTCCAAACGCTGTAAGTCGGTGGCTGAAACAGGCCTCAGATATGTGGTGGTTTATGAAATCTGTCTCAACTGTTAAGAAGCTGGTAAATCAATCAATCTATCTATCTATGTCCCTGAATTTCAAATGGGGTGCTAGAGACACAATGTAGCATGGAAAGAAAACCCCAATTCTCTGCACCAACTGCTAATCCTAGTGTCAGAGAGGATAAAAAGGGAAGAAAGTATGTGGATCTGCAAGACAGCCAGAGCTTGTGCTCTTACAGTAGTGCATCCACACCACAGTCAGCCCGTAGCCCTTTCTGTCTGACACCTCAGAGACCCTAACAGACCTTCTCTTGTGCTGCCATGACCCCTTGTGATGGTTTGACTGGCTTTTCACCATGTACCCTCCTTTCCTCTCTCAGCTGTTGACCTGACCTCATCAGGCAGGAGAAGCCTGCTGAGATGAAACCTCTTGCGCACAGTATCCAGTACCTCAGAAAGGAGAGGTGTCCCTTGCTCACTGCACTCCTACCTCATGACAGAGGAGAGGCAGAGCAGAAGCCACCACAACCAACTGCCCAGTCCCAACAGCCCAAGAACTGCAGCAAAATTAGTTGAATGTTTCCCTCCCTGCAGCCTGTGCTCTCTCATCTTGTCAAAGGTAAACAGCCAGAGGGATAAGGCTCAATAACAGAGATGTTTTTTCTTCCTCTCCTCCATCAGAGTAGCTGCTTTAAAAAGTATGTAGTCAACAAGAAAGGGATTTCTATAGAACTTCTATTTCAAGACCGTTTGTTTTGTATAAAGAATTGCAAGAAGCTTTATCTTGCTTTCTGTTATTTTTCTTGAGGGTGAAGTACTCAATACTTTTCCAAAAAAAATAACCAGTGTGCATTTCTATTCTATCAGATATGGAACTTTGGAGCAGAAATGTCCACATTCAGATCCAAAAGTTTCCTTAACTGTTTGATCTTTGCTCTCCAGAGAGCAAGGCCAAGTACATACAGACATGCCTGGGCTCCAGAACAAGCACAGCACTTGGTGCAGCAAGAGGCAGCCACTTGAACTCAGGAGGCCAGCTAACACTGGGCATCCTGAAAAATACAGTCACAACATTTCTGCTTTTTCCTCACCCACACTTTAGCTAATATAAAAAAGCAACTCTGACAACATGCTTATCAACTTCTAGGGGGAGTCTGTGTGTCCAGGAAAAAGCCAAGACCCTCTAGGGTCAGACTCACAGAAGCCAGGTCTCTCCAGGGCAGACCTAAGTGATGCTGAGCTGAAAGAAGGGATGCGAGGGGAATACTGGACAAAGTACAGCAGGGAAAGATTCAAGGCAAACAACTCTACTCCTATTAAATATAATTCAAAACTCTTTAGAGCACAACAGAACACCAGAGCTGCCTGTGGAGCAGAAGAGCAGGACAAGAATCAGCTCAAGGAAAGCTGACCCAGAGACTACTTTAGGGCCAGGAAGAAATTAGTCACCTGTGGACTCATCCTGCTGGCCTCAGGACAGTGGATACCACCAAGAGAAAAAGGAAGCAGGGGGCAGCCAGAAGTAGCACCAGTGACATTTAGTTTCTTTATCTTTCTCCTGTCTCTACCTGTTTAAGCAAAAATGGCTCAGAGCCTCCTGAGAGTACTCTTCAAATACCTCTGACCAGGGTAGCTGCTCATCATTGTTTTTCCTCCTTCCAATGTCACCTCTCCCCAGAGAGGGACAGAGCTCTTTGAGAGCAGTCTCTGGCCTGCTGTACCCCATCCCCAACTCATCAGCCCATGTCTCAGCCTGAGATGAACCTCCTCACTCGATGGGAGACTTTGCTTGCCAGCTCCTGCTTCTCTGCAGTCAACTGCTGCTTCTCCATGTCCAGCATCTCCTTCTCACCACATGCATCAAGTAGTTTCTCCACAAAGTCCCTTTTTGTCTCCTTCATTTCAATCTGTAGCTCTTCCATGTGGTCAGTTCTGAATCCAGCTGCAGAGGCAACAGACAGAGCTGAGCAGGGATGTACAAGGAGTATGTGTATATATAGGGATGGGGGGGGGCTTCCTTGCTTTTCCTAAAAACCTCTGAAATCACCCCACCCTCATGCAGTACTTCAGTCACAATTAGTGATGAAGATTCATGCCTCTGTCTAACCCAAGAGGTGAAAAAACTCCTAAGAGCCCATCTCCAGTCCAGCAGTGTTGGCCCCAAGTTTCCCATGGCACACATTCACACTGACACCTTTCTTGCTGGGAAGGATTCACTAAATATCTGGCACAGTCTGGAGGCAGCTGCCTGCATCACAGTGACAGGAATGGCATTTGCCAGTTCCATCTCATCACTGCTTCCATTATTTCCTACCAGACAAGAGCTGCAGGGGACTGTCTGACAGCCTGAGCATTCAAGAGGTAGGGGACACCCATGCCCACAGCTCAAACACCGTTTTCCCTCACTGTGACAGCTGCAACCTGTCAGGCTTTTTTTTTCTAATTAAGATGTAAGCACATGCTCTGTCAGAGAGATCAAGCACAACACTCACAGTGGTAATCATTTAGGCAGAAGTGAGTGGCAGCACTTGTAGTCCAGCATCAGATAGAACAGGCTTTCATTTGATCCCTGCTAACCCATCTGTTACCCAACCACATCAGCAAAAAACCTTTGTTTCCAGCTCCACCACTCTGCTTCAATTTTCTCCACTTGGTTTTATCGAGTTACCTAAAAAGAAAAGGGAAACACAATTAAGAAGAGCACTGCTGTATACACACTCCCCCCTTCCCCCTCCAATACATCCCACAAGCTTCACAATGCCTCATGCCAGATCAAGAATTGGGTTCAAAACAAACAAGAGGAGGGAGCTGTTCATGTTTGGAGCAGCAGAGCTGTGGCTCCCTTGCCCTGGATCTTACAGATGCTCAGAGATGATGAGGCTTCAAGGGGGGAGACCATGAAGGTTTATGAAAAAACAATCTACTCAGAGTTACTCATTGAAACTACACCTGACTAGAACAGTCTTGAAGCTGCATGTGCTTGGAGACCAGAAGAGGACTGAGGTAGCTGCTATAGACACTTCCCCCTTCTCAGACACTTCCCCAGGCACCAGCTTTTGCTCACTGTCACATGCAGGACATGGGGCTAGACATTCAAGCAGACCAAGTAATCAAACAGAATCACAGAATTGTCTAGGTTGAAAAAGACCTTGAAGATCATCCAGTCCAACCATTTACCTAACATTGACAGTTCCCAACTACACCATATCCCTAAGTGCTATGTCATATCCCTAAGCGCAATGGTCTGATCCCGTACAGTATGTTATTTTAAATAACAAGCTTGCTTTCTAGATAACATGGGGTCTCCTACTTCTCAGAATCTCTGATAGAAGCAATAAAGCATCATGAGATGAACAGCAAGTAGACTGCATTCCAGTCAACCCTCAGCTTTTTGACTAGCATCTCCCCTGATACTGGCTGTCACCTATTTCTGCTCTAAACTGGTCTTTATCCTCAGCCCCTGCAGTACAAGTTCCCTCTCTGCTCACACAGGCAGCAACGAGCTCAGCCGTCCTGCTGGCAGCAACCTTTACTGCCATTCACCCAGGAGCAACTACGCCTGAATGAGTTCAGTAAACAATTTTCAGAGAGCTCAGGAGTTGCTAGTGACCTCATGAAGACAATTATCTCAGTTATTCTTAGATATTCCAAGAAATTCCTTCCTTCATCTTCACTTTATGTGAGACTTTTAGTTGATTTATTTTATTCTCTTCCATCTAGTGATTTGTCCTGTTTTGTGTTTCCTCTTCTGAAAGTCAACTTTCAAAATGGAGAGCATAAACCACAAATGTAAAAAATCCACAATAATCATCTGAGTATTGAAAGTCATGAACTCTGCAATCATTTGCAAGGAAGCATATAAATAACTAGATTTAAAAGGAGTTTGTTCTACACAAAATCTTCCTGGATTATACCCTTGGTGTATTTAATCACAGTGGCAGACATATGGAGGGGGTATGTGCATAGATATAGAAAAGAAAGGTATGCAGACTATTTAACCTTTTGGGGTTTTTTTTTAATTTTTGAACTAATTTCAAGTAACTTTAAGCTTGCAATAACCTTTTAGGTGAACACCACCTTTTGCACGAGGATTTCTCTGGGGATCCTCTGCATAATACTCCTCTCTCTTTTGCCTAAAAAGTCTTACAAGTCTTCCTCACAAATGAAAAAAAAAAAAGCCACTTTAATAAAAAAGGGAGACAAAACAGCTGTGAAAACCAGAGAATTTAAGGAATTTTCTCCTCTACTCTTTGCAGTCAAAGGCACTGTAATTTTGTTAAGTTTAGGCTTATATCTGTTTTTAAGAATAATTTGGAGTAAGAAGAGCAGTAAATCAGCTGCAGACCACAGCCAAGCAGCATTAGCCATACATGCCATCACCAAAGCCCATAGAAGGGGACCACCTCAAGCTCTTGTGCTGCAGGTCCCATCCAACAGCACAGATGGCATAGATCTGCATGCAAGCAGACTCTCTTCCTGCCACCTTCTTAAAGCCTCTCACTTTCCTGTCAAAAAATTAGCCTTAAATTCCCATTCTGCTTTCTAATGAGATGATTTAGTGCCTGAGGGAATGATACCAGAACTGATCTTTCAGTGGAAAGAGTGCAGGGACCACTTCTGGTGGCAGGAAAGGGTTTGGTTGTCTCTCACCCACAAGGAGGGCTTGGGAGTTAGCAGGGCAACAACAGGATCTTGACTCACTACTTTACTCTTGCCCAACTCACATCAAAGCCAGACCTGAACCAATAGCTGCCTCTTCCACCTTCTGGATCAAGTAGAGAAGTGAGCTGCTCCTCACCTTGAGAAGGTGATAAAACCCAGGACACATCAGCTCCCCACAAATGTCAGGTCTGAAGTTCAGCTCATCAGAAGGGTTGATTGTGGCAATGATCAGCTGCACACACAGGCCACCTAAAAATCAATGAAACAAAAAAATCAAGAGAGAAAACTTCTGATCATGAGCTGGAACTCAGTGGATTGGGACTTACAAGGCCAGAAGACCATGCAAGAAGCTACAGCAGAAAAAAGTGGCAAAACAAAAGGTATTCCATCCATACCAAATCCATTCTGCTACACGGTCTCCAGCTTCTGTGTCAGACTCCAAGAGCCATGTCCACAAAAGCTGAGGAATTAAATACCTTCAGTGCCCTTGAGGTGCCACCCTTCAAGCCATCCAAAGGAGGCTGGAATTGCTCCACCTCATCCATTCCTGCTCAGTACCTCCAGAGCTCACTCATCCCTGCCATGAGAGAGAATCAGCAGCTCCCTCATTAGTCAGGACAGGAGTGCACCTGTGCAGATCAACTCTAAAATGAGGAACCAGAGTCAGAAGAGAGACTTCACAGAGAGGCCAGTAACAGTGGAGAGCTCAAAGCACAGCAAGAGACAGGATTTGTACCCCCACGTACAGGCTTGTAGGGCTGAGGCAGGACACAGAGGGTAGACAGAAGCTTCACAGCATCCTGCATTGTGGAGGGGACTTTTGGGTCAACAGTTCTTGCCAGGAGAAGCATCCCCTCTTCTTTGCCCAGCAGTGTTTTTGTTCCAAATTAAGGAGAAAATAGTTGGGATTAAGGTCCAAGACCAAGCCAGCTCTAAAGCAGAGCGAGATGGGCACTGTTCCCAAGTGAGAATACTCAGAGGAACAAAACTTTGAAGATACTTGCTTCAAAGCACTGTTCAAACATCTGCAATACCCTTGTTGCTGACAGGGGACAGAGCAGAGACAAGAAAGGGAGGATACATCTCAGACTGCACTCTGCTAGCAAAAGAAAGCGTTTCAGGGAAGCTTCAGACTCCAGGAGCCATGGAAGGTATGTACAGACTTGGGAGGAAGGAGAGATGCTCAGTTCACCCAAGGAGAGCAGGGAAGAGCACACACAGGAACAAGGAAGAACCCCAGCTCATTCCCAGTGAAGATAAAACAGGTCACCACTGCACAGCAGTGGAAAAACAAAACAAAGAAACCCCAACAATACATAGAAAGACAAGGAAGAAATACTGAAGGGCATCAAGACCTCATAGATGAACTGAGAAAGCTAATCAGAGACAAGCAGAGTAAGCCACAAAAGGAGGGCAGAGCAGTTGCAGCCCCACAGGGCTGGACAAGGAGATGGAAAGTATTTGTATGTCCCAGGGTAAGTAGATGATTGAGATGATGGTATCAGAAAACGTACAGCATGGGAAAAAGCAAAGCAAAAAGTGTGGGGATAGTAAAGATTTAGTAAAGAGGAAGAAACTTCACCACCATTTTCTCTGTCCGTTCCAACAACTGCCCTGAGGTGCCAGGCCAGACACCACATGGCAGAAGCTGAGGCTGGTTCTCTCGGGATACTGGACAAGGTTTTTGACTGGCTGTTCACAAAAACCTTCAGGTATTAGTTGATCTCACATCTGCTTGGCATCCCATAGGAGCTGTGAGGAAAACAATAAGCCAGCTGAAAAACTTACAGAAGAAATGTCCCCTCTCCCCTCCAGAGTTGCTCCCCCTCAAATGAGGCTGTTAGCACCCACACCAAGATCCCACCTTAATTTTTAATTGTATCTTACAGAGGGAAGACAAGAAAAAAGGTCATTTATGCAGGAAACCACCAGACTAAGCTCTGAGATCGCCTGTATTCATATTGCTATGAGGTGCCTGGCCCTACACACAGGAATCCATCAGCTCCATCCCAAACATGGATCTCAGTACAGATTTAAGTAGCTGAGATGCCACAAAATGGCATGGTAGGAAGAAAGAAAAATAAAGGGTACTTTTCTATGAACAGAGCACCACACTGGCTTCATGAATCCTAGCACTTTCCAGAAATGCTGTGGAAAAAAAAAAAAAAAGAAAAAAGAGGGTATCCCAAGATACCAAGTCAACCCCAAGAACTGCAGGAGAGATGCGTGAATGTTATCAGCTGCCATCAAAAAAACAAAGACCCCAAATGTTGGGGTGGCAGGAGCAGCAAGAGGGAACCAAGGGCAGGCACTGCCAGGCACAAGGCTAGGAGGAAAGGGCTGAGCTGCAATGTGGTTTACACAGCATTTATAGAGGAGAGATGGGGTAATGAGGGACCAGAGGAACTGAAAACAGTGGAGAGGGTCTAGAAAGCAGGTATAGAAACACTCAGCACTTGAATGCAACATCTCAGTGCAAACTGCTCAGAGAAACTGACAAAGAAAAAGCATCAGGTGAACTTCAGAGATAATATGGCCACATAGCTTAGTCCCCAGCTTCAGAAATTAATAGGAAACTTCACTGGAAATCCTGGTCCAAGACACAGGTGGTTTTATTTCTCTCTCCCCTCTAAAAAACAGATCTCCAGCCAAGGTTCTGAAAGGATCTCAAAGCAGTCAAGGCTTATTCAGGTTTAGGGCAGAAGATACTTATCTGCAGATAGCATGTAAACATCTTCACCCCAAATCAAAAATGTGCAGGTGGGCCTGTCGTTTGACATAATTCTTCTTTTAATACATAAAAGCTACATATTTTTGAAATTGGGAGTTTCATTAATTTTCTCTCTTGCAAAGAAACATTTTTAAACATACTGATACCCAAAACATTCATAATGCATCAAAGCTTTCTTTATAGTAAAAACTCTAGTCTGAATAACAACTTCAGGAACTTTCAAAAAGTTGTATTAAAAGAAAAGATGCCATTGCTGGCTGCAGAGCTCCATAATTCCTTCTGTTCCTGTAAAAGCAAGCTGTGGTAGTT